CTATACCAAAATTTCAGCCGCCTAGCTTTTGTGGTTCCAGAGTTGAAAGTGCGGGACAAAATGTGGCACACACACACACACACACACACACACACCACACACACACATACACACACAGACAACCCCATGACAATATGCGTTTTGTAATGCTGTTACACAGCACAAAATGCACAAAAACGTATATTGTAGAGAGGCCGCCCGCAAGCGCGTGTCCGGAAGCGAATGAACTTTGTTACCCACTTTCAACTTAGCAACCAGGAAAGCCGGAAGGTTGAAATTGTGGGAGGCATATTCCTACCCCATGTGCGACCCTCCCGTTTTAAAATCTTCGCTTATATGCGCCTAAATCTCTAGTACGGACCCTCAAGAAATATATGCAAATTTCTTTAGCAAGAAACGATTTCACGAACCAGATAAAGCAGAAAGCTGAAACTTTGCAGGGGTTGTGCATGTGACTAAAACTCTGTGCATGTGCGAACTAAAGATTTCAAATTCAGCTATTGCGTACGCATATAATGCTCGTGCGGCCACATCAAAGCTGGCAATTGACAATGTGGTAACTCGAAAACTAATCCGAAAACAGTAGCTGGTATTTTGCAGAATATTTATTGTTCATGTGGAAAATCGTGCACCTAAATTCATTTTCGATTTGCACTTGCACCACGACTTAGGGCACTTCAAAGACATTTGAAGCAGCTATTTTGCTCAACAGACCAGGTGCGAGGCTAAAATTTTGCAAGAATATTCTACATTCACATATAGTCTTCGTTCAGCTTGAATGTGAAGTTCTGTGCACGCCAGCATGAAAAATACTCAATTTTATAGCAAACACAAAAGAAAAAGCATTTTGCAGATTTCATAATCCTTTTCACACCTCCTTCAAATTCGCACTTTTCGGCGAACGAGCATTCACCGCAAAAAACGATCAGGCTTCATGCAAAAGACTGATGATCATGCACGCCAGAAGCCCACGCGGACCTATTATGCAACATTTTCGTCCCAGCCGACGCTCTTTCCCTTTGAGTGCGGGGAGAGGCCAAAATATAGCCAATATAAACCTGTGTTAAAGTAGAGCGCAGAAACTATTCCCGCTGTTAGCGATCTGCAAGCTTAGCGCAAAAACGCATGATCGCACCGGCAGGTCTAGTGCATTGCAATTGGAGTTTTCTTTCTAAAATTCTTCGAAAAATCTTCAATGCCTAGTAAACCAGTAATTCAATAAATAATTCAATAAATCATACACCAAAGTATTAATTTTCAACCCGCCTCAACTGTAGACGGAACGAAAGGCACCACGTATAAA